CTTGGCAAACTCATTACTTATTTTGGATTGCACTACCACCTGTATGCTGATGGCACCCAAGCATACATTTTTATTGTTCCAGTACATCCCACAGCTGCTCAGTTGGATTGAGTCCTGGGAAATTTGGAGGCCAAGAAAACATTGTGAAATCTTTGCAAAAATTGTTCATGAATGGTTTGAAGGACATGACAGTGCTGAAAAAGGCCACTACCATCAGGGAACACCATTTCCATAAAGGGTTAACATTGTCTAGGTAGGTGGTATGTGTTAAAGTGACATCCACATGAATGCCAGGACCTAAGGTTTCCCATCAGAACATTGCCCAGAGTATAACACTGCCTTCACTGGCCTGGGGAAGAGATGGAAGCAGAATGCACTATATGAAGAAGTTCCTATAGTGCATTCTGCTTCCATCTCTTCCCTAGGAGAATGATTCACACGCACCTGACAACCCACCTCATATAAAAGAAAACATGATGCATTAGACCAGGCAACATTTATTTCTCAATAAAAACATAGACTGTGACGGCAGATAAGAACCATTCGGCCCATCTGGTCTGCCCAATTTTCTAAATACTTTCATTAGTCTCTAGCCTTATCTTAAAGTTAGGATAGCCTTATGCCTATCCCACGCATCCTTAAACTCCTTCACTGTGTTTGTCAGGATTACTGTTTGATCCAGTACGTAGAACTGTATAGCACGGATGACAAATAAGTAACGTATTACCGGTCCTTAGAATGGCCGGATTTAACGTACATAGAATAGTCAAAAATACTAGCCGAGGTCAGGGAACACAGAAAGGGACGCAGCGATGAGGAAAGCCAGGAGTCAGGATACCAGAATATAGAGAAGTCAATAAACAAAGCCAAAGTCAAAAACCAGGTAGAAAACTAATAACAGGAACGCGCTCCGGACAACCACAAGGGAAACCTGGAGACTGGGAATCCCAGGGATGGATTACAGGAATGAACCCAGAAATCCCCGCAATAAAGAAAACCAGACATAGACCAGAAAGCCAGAAAAACCAAGCAAGGACAGCAAAAACAGTACTGGATACCAGAAGCCAAAGCCAGACATCTCCGCAGAACATGGCATGATGTGACATAAAAATACTGTCAGGGTGGCGGTCCGGGAACCGGGACCCCTGAGTGCCTGATGAGAAGTGGGAGTCTTCAGCGTGGAAGTGGATTATCAGGGCCTGGTGCATGGTAACCACACGCCCCCTGGTGTTGAGCACCAGCATTTGCGCTGCCACATACCAGAACCCTGATGCAGCTACAGCGAATCCCAGGAACTAGGAGCTTGATATGCAGACCTCCCAGGAACTGGAGCAGGTAATTAAGCAGACCTCCCAGGAGCTGAATAGGGAGGCTCTGCAGCAGGGATGTATCCAGTACTGAAGCAAGGCAAAACTAGGAGAGCAAGGCACCATACAAGAAAACAAGACAAAACTAGGAGAACAAGGCAAGACTAGAGATAGGCACCATACATGAAAACAAGACAAAACTAGGAGAACACAGAACCAGAACAGGACAGAAAGCAGAACCCAGGACATGTACACAAGACAGGAGGAAAACAAGAACTGGACAGGACTGTACATGGACTGGGGTTACAAGATAAAATAAAACAAGACAAGAGATACAAGGTAAAACAAGAGGAGACATAACTAAGCACTATATATGCAAAGTATGGGGATTTAGTCACATTATATGATCATACATTGCATAAGCCTGCCAACAACGCCAATGTACCCCATATCTGGCAGGTACTACACTGCCTAATGCATGCTAAAACAACCATACTAAACCACAATATAGCACTTACCTGCAAGAAAGAGACTTGAAACACTGCTGCAGGTCCAGGCTGAAACAAAAAGAAAGTGGAAACATAAAACAAACATTTAAAGGAAACCTGGAGACTGGGAATCCCAGGGATGGATTACAGGAATGAACCCAGAAATCCCAGCAATAAAGAAAACCAGACATAGACCAGAAAGCCAGAAAAACCAAGCAAGGACAGCAAAAAGAGTACTGGATACCAGAAGCCAAAGCCAGACATCTCCGCAGAACATGGCATGATGTGACAGTGTTAACCTCTACCACTTCAGCTGGAAGGCCATTCCATGCATCCACTACCCTTTCAGTAAAGTAATACTTCCTGATATTAGTTTTTAACCTTTGCCCCTCTAATTTAAAACTATGTCCTCTTGTTGTGGTAGTTTTTCTTCTTTTAAATATACTCTCCTCCTTTACTGTGTTGATTCCCTTTATGTATTTAAAATGTTTCTATCATATCCCCCCCGCCTCATCTTTCCTCGAAGCTATCCATGTTAAAATCATTTCACCTTTACTTGTAAGTTTTATCCTGCAATCCATGAACCAGTTTAGTAGCCCTTCTCTGAACTCTCACTAAAGTATCAATATCCTTCTGAAGATACGGTCTCCAGTACTGAGTACAATACTCCAAGTGAGGTTTCACCAGTGTTCTGTACAATGGCATGAGCACTCCTCTCTTTCTATTGCTAATACCTCTCCCTATACAACCAAGCATTCCTGCTGCTCTATTACATTGTCTGCCTACCTTTAAGTCATCTGAAATAATTACCCCTAAATCCCTTCCCTCAGATGTTGAAGTTAGGACTCTATCAAATATTCTGTACTCTACCTTAGTATCATCAGCAAAAAGACATACCTTACCACCAAGACCTTCTGCAATATCACTAATAAAAATATTAAATAGAATGGGTACAAGTACAGATGCCTGAGGTACCCCACTGGTAACAAGACCATGCTTTGAATACACTCCATTGACTACAACCCTCTGTTGCCTGTCACTCAGCCACTGCCTTACCCATTCAACAATATTGGAATCCAAACTTAAAGATTGCAGTTTATTGATAAGCCTTCTATGTACAACAGTGTCAAAAGCCTTACTGAAATCTAGGTAAGCAATGTCTACTGCACCACCCTGATCTATTATTTTAGTCACCCAATCAAAACATCTATAAGATTAGTTTGGCATGATCTCCCTGAAGTAAACCCATGTTGTCTGTGATCTTGAAATCCATGTGATTTTTATATGTTCAACAATCCTATCCTTTAACATGGTTTCCATTTCTTTCCACACTACTGAAGTAAGGCTTACTGGCCTATAGTTGCCCGACTCCTCCCTACTACCTTTCTTGTGAATGGGCACAACATTTGCTAACTTCCAATCTTCTGGGACTACTCCTGTTAACAAAGATTGGTTAAATAAATCTGTTAATGGTTTTGCTAGTACCCCACTAAGCTCTTTTAATAACTTTGGGTGTATTCCATCAGGCCCCATTGACTTATTTGTCTTTACTTTTGACAGTTGAAATAGAACCTCTTCCTTTGTAAACTCACATGGAACAAATTACTAATTTGTCCTTTTTCCTAACTGATGTCCCTTTACTTCATTTTCATCTGTAAGTACTGAAGAAAGTACCCCCTCTTTGAATTCTATTGTTTTACTTTTGAGGACATAACAACAATATTTTTTTCCTTAGCAGGTCTTTAGCGCTGTAGTGGTTATGTTTCTTGGAGTAAAGCTTTAAATATATATTTTTTTAATAAATATGACACATTCTGTAAGATTATTAATTCTTTACCAATGTCCAATCCTTTAATATTTGAAAACGTCAAGGTTTTGCATATGTAGAAATAAACTAGGCTTTATTCTATTATTATTACTATTATAAGATAGCTCGGCATGTACCCTTCCCACATTAATAAAATTGGAGTTATTTTGTTTTTTGCTCCTGTGAATTACAAAATGCCATTGAGTGTCAGGAGAATGCCTGTTTTCTGAATATAAATTAATTGGTTAGTGTAAAATGCAAGTTGCATTTTTATAAATGTCATTGTTAAGTGACTTGTAGTAGAAATATATTTCAGTACACTGTGGTCTTACATCTACTAATTTAATGCTTTAACCTGTTTTCCTGAAAGGGCTTAGTGTTCTTGTGTCCCTTGATCTTTGCTCCCTAGAGAGTAGAGCTCTTTTGAACTTTGAATGAAGCCAGAAGAGAGGATTCAATGGTTGTGAAGATCACCTTTTAAAGAGGGCAAAAAAATAAATAAATAAAATAAAGTAGAGATTCTGGAAACAGCATGTATCTTTCTACATTAAGAAGTCTGATTAGATATTGTGCTTAATAATTTGATATTTACTGCCGTTGGCCTTCTTTACGCTGACTTTAGCTATGCACAAAATATGTAATTCTAAACATTTATTTCATTCTTGGTATAGCTTGTATTGTATCATAATAGATGTGGAAGAAGGAAGTTGATTTAATATGCAAACATGGGCCAGTCTCCATAGAAATCAGTGGAGCCAAGAGGCACATCCAATAATGACTCTGCCTCTTTTACATATTTGAACCAAAACACAATAGTCAGAACATAAGACTTTGATTAATTCACCCTAGTGAGTGTTATACCAGCTGTTTAGGGCAGCCATTTCTGATAAACTGTTATATTTTATGACAATATATTTGATAGTTATAGTGATAGATACTTTTAGTGTATCATTAGGTGGAGATCGTACTGCTCAAGCGTAATCAAGAGGGGCTCTTTTTTTAAATTTATTTTTTTATTATTTATTTTTTATGTGCATGCAAAGAACAGGCAGACTCCCTATGCTCCAACAGCATAAGTAAGGCAAGTCATAAAGCATATTAGTAGAAAGCATACAGGAATAACTGCAAATTTTTATTTATTTATAGAAAACAAGAGTGACAGAATTACATTTTTGGATGCTAGATGGACATTGTGTAGTCACAAAGATTTGTCCTCTACTTAAAATTAAATGAAGAGAAGAAAATGGACAGTAGTCTACAGAAGGTCATAGACAGTAGATACATGTACTAAGCATCGGAGAAATAGTGTAAATCACTTTGAAACAAAACTATGGACTAGGCTAGGCTTCAACACTGTCTTAGATTAATTAAAGTAAAACGATAAGACGCATAAACAAACAAAAATATTGCCACTGGATCATCCAAAAGAGACACATAGGGTATTAACATCATAATGTCGAGTGTGTATATAAGCAGACTTGAAAAGATTCCTCTACTCCGACTCACACACCGCTAGGGGAGGGTGGGGGAGAGGAGAGACCACTAAGGGGCAGGGGAGAGCTCCAAGGGACAGCTCTATAGGACAAGGGAGCACTTTCACACTACGCGCACACACACACACACACAATGCATCCCTATACATACACAGAAACACACAATGCATCCCTCCACACACAGAAACACAACATGCTTCCCTTACACACAGAGAAACACACAATGCATCCATTACACACACACAATGCAACCCTTACACACAAAGACAATGCATCCTTTGCACACATACACAGAAACACACAATGCAAACCCTTACACACACATGCAAACACACACACT